TGTGAGACAGTAGAAGACGTTTCGGAGGAAGTTACTGCCTCCATCATCCTGATTCAAAAGTAAGCCAGTCCTGCAGATTAAAATTACTCTCTCTTATTTCAAAATTTGATTGTGAAAATGGAATTAGTATGTTCCCCTGAAATATCAGTAAACTACTATCAGTCTACACGGCGTCATATCCCATAAGACACCACTCCTCGTATGTTTCTCCTAGTCAACGTCTATATAGTCTAGCAGTTTTCCGCTTACATTTATTTCCCAGGTTAAAGGTCCCAGATAATTATGAATGACGTTTACATAAACTGATTCATCGTGTCATGTTACATCCACTGCCCGGGTTTGCGTCATAATCAAATGTTTTTATCTTACTTGCATAAGTCATTTTATTGACTCAGCAGTATCTAATAAATATTATGCATTTAATTGTTCTGACGTAACACAATGTCACAGTTTGTAATCACTAACGTGGCTCTCATTAACAAACTACGTCACAGTTTGCAATCACTAACGTGGCTCTCATTAACAAACTACGTCACTCTTTGCAATCACTAACATGGCTCTCGTTGACAAACTACGTCAGATTTCACAGGTCACGTCTCCTATCTGATCTCTTCAAATTCATAAATAATTCTGAGTTTGTCTCAGGCATTCACTAACCCATTTGAACGATGACCACTAATGAAAGGCTACGGACTAGGATACCACGGTTCGATTTCCGACAGGAGAAACCTATTCTTCTCTTCTCCACAGAGTTCAGACCGCCCCTAAGCCCACCCTGCCGCCTGTCCAATGGTTACCAAAGGCTCTTCCGGGAGTTAAAGCGGCAGGGGCGTGAACCTGACTATTCCCTTTCATCTACTGCCGAGGACAAGAAAGGTACAGCTTTATCTCCACTAACCAATGCATTTGAATAGTCTGATGCTTTATTAAGCAAAAGGACAGCTTTGTTTTTAACTGAAGACAAAAGTATGCATCAGTGCCATCAAGGGGATTCGAACCCGTGCTCCACATCTTGAAGTAAATAAATAAGTAAATAAAGGTCCTTAGAGTGAAATTCTTGTGCAGTATCTTAGAAACACCTTTTGTATCCCCAGATCTTCAGGAAGACAGATCTTATCTTCACGCTGATAATTACTACCTCCAAAGGTAAAAAGTTATCCCTGCAACAGGCCTTGGATGCCCATAGGAATGTAAAAAGTCGAGACTCCCACATTTTGTAGAAAATCGGCTCATAGATGGCGGTGAAGTTGTCAGCCTTACGCGCCGGTCGCCCTTTAACCCCCAGGAAGATTGCTGGTGCTCATTTCTGTTAGAGGCTGAGTCGACCCCAGGGCCATAGTACGGCTGGAAGGGTTAGGTCTGTATAAGAGAGGGTTTTTTTTGTATTTATCATTTTCTGCACATACTATCGTTGTTGTCCATAGCAACAGATTTCCGAACGTTAACAAGTTTCATGAACATACGTTATGTAATAGGTCATGGATAAGCGAAAAGTGTTTAGGTTCAATATTCCATATGTTTTCCGTAAGTATTGCGTATACAGAGACTTGGATATGTGACATAAGCTCAGTTCAGTTCTTATTATTTATGTACCGAGTCAACAGCTGCAGGCCCACTACAGACACAGGTCAGTGCAGATACAGGTAACTACATTATGGACAAACACAACATAAATCAAAGAAAAATTACNTGTTCATGTACGAGCAAAATTGCAGCTCAGAGGCAAATTACAACGTTAGCATAAGAAGGCAGAAGGACACAAAAATAACTAACAAACAAAACACAAAATAAAGCAGTTTATATACTAGTAATAAATTAATAATAATTCCTTGAAAAATTGAATTTATCATTAATGGGTGGGAAAAATATATTATATAGACGGTTTACAATGGTCTATTTGCGCGTAATATTCGTGGGAGATGGCTTTAAAAGTCTGTCCAGATGCAGCATTCAATAACAGGTAGGACCGGAAATGAAGTAAGGGATAAATAGAAGAAAAAGTACGAAAGCTTGTATAAAAAGCGATAAGATTTCCTGTTGAATTCTCAACACACGTTAGTGAAGCAAAAGTTAATATTGACCCTGCGACAGGAAAACTTATAGGACACTTTGAGGAAAACAGCCAGAGATTGCGGACCTGTACGGCACTACGGCAAGTTTTCTTCATGTACTTCTGTTTCCCCTGCCAATTCTCATTCCACCGACTGTTCCACACTCATCATCTATCATCCGGGGCTGGTACAATAGTCCAATTAATGGCCGACGTACCAAGTGGACTAAGTCTCACCCCCGTTCCAAAAACTAAAAATAACCTAAAAACTACGATCTAGTGCCGTGAGACAGTTTCAAGAAGTGAGCAATTGCCAGAAGATGGTCAAATAGGGCCGAAACATGTCGCAATTAATATGATTTAAATGTCATTTTATATTTAAGAGAGATTGTGAACAGTTTTAAGTTGCATAAGAGAAGGAGTGAATGAGAGTGATATTCGCAGGAGGTTTCAACATAACTCGTAAGAACACTTTCCCCCGTTGGAACAAATTCTGTCTGTGCCAGTGCAAAGAAATTATATCAACCAACGAGGCGTAAGTCCCGTAGTCGCCACAGTATGGCATTGGGATGATTGTACAGTAGGCGTCAAGCGAGAGAGCATCGGTACCCCCCCCCCCGACCACCTCTATCGTCTCAATGAATTATGAATGCACTGACAGTAACATTAGTTAAATCTTGCGGAACTCTGTGCATTGCAACAGACACCAGGTTGATATATGGCAATTTCGCGTGATCACTGCGTTTGGATTCTTGTTGAAATAACCAGATATGGAGTTACACATCCTCAGAATGTTCTCACACTTCGCTACGTTCCCGAGTATCACCTGTTCCAACTGCACCTCATAAACCCTAGTGATGGCATCTTCCTCAGAACCATCGGGGTAAGTAAAGACATTTCAGATTAAAATAGATTTATATTTTCGTGGGTTATTTTGTGATTCAGCGATCACAGTGGCCTTGATGTCTCCATGTCTTCGTTCGCTAGAACGCTGGGTTCGAATCCCACTCAAGGCATGGATATCTATCTTCGTTTATTCTGCTTCTGTGTTGTTCTGTGTGTAGGTAGCGAATTTGTGACGGGCTGATCCCCCGTACAAGGAATACTACCGACTATGTATAGGATTAAGAAAGTGAAAAAGTGTCCAACAAAAGGACTGTAGAGCCGGAGATGGATTTTGTGACTCTGTCATACAATATGGCGTCGAATGGAAGGATGCTTGGTGATGAACTGGGAAGGTATAATCGAGTTAATGTCGTGATTCTTACCTAGAGAAAATAAGAAAGACGCAGTAAGGATATGTCTCTTTATTGTTTATTTTTCTGCATGTTCGGCTTATTCTACCCTGAAGTTGGAAGCAGTTTATCGCTCCGAAACATCTGTAAGCTTCAACTGTGCCAAACGGAGTTATATTTCGGATGAAAATATTCATCGTATTCTAATTCACTTGTAGGATCTATGTTGTACAGCTAAGCCCCTTATCTCTAATTCTCCAACTCGCTTCATGAACACATTATGCTGGTAACAGTTACAGTGAACTTGACGTTTCAAATTTCGTTGAGATAATATGTTACGTCAATTAATTGTCCGAGAGTCCCTTCGAAATGGAGAAGGGAAAAATTAATTATATTTCATGAAATGACTAATAAAAACCAATTAAATATAAATATATTAAGTAATTTTTATAGAATGATCGTTAAATGAATGCTCAGTGGGGCGACCGTCCATGTTATTCTGTCCGACGGTTCTGTTTTCTTTTCACTGAAACTTCTTGAGGGATTTTTATTAACATTAATATTGGGGGTCAACATTGAAGTAAGTTGGACAAATTTTATTTCTGTTCCTATATACTGGTGGAATATATACTTCATTCTGACGCAAGGCTCTGTAAAAAAATTATTGTTGCGAAATCTAAAGACGTGAAAACCTGATGGTCTAATTCAGGACGGAATAGACAAGTGTGGCAGAATATATTAAGGAAGGCTATGGCTCAAAATGACCTGTTTTGCTGTCGATGATGATCATCAACATGATTCTCTGCATTGCATGGAGATAACGCCAAAACACTCGATTCAAAATGGGACCCTGTAAAGGAACAAGTAATCTCATAGACATAAATTTGTTATTTGAAAATTTTTGCGGTGTGTTAAGTATTTAACGAATTTAAAAGAAGAGCAACTTCTGACTACACATAGTTATATTTTATTTATTTATTCACTTACTCATAGAGCTGAGCGCTTCTTGAGAAGCCACAAATTCTGAATCTACTCAAGAACTTCCTAGAATTTTATGGAACCCGAAGTTTCATTACCGTGTTCAAAAGAGCCCTCCAGTGGTCCATATACTGAGTCAGATCAATCCAACCCATAACAGCTCATCCTATATCTCTTGAGATCAATTTTAATATTGTCCACCCACCTACGCCTTGGTCTTCCCAGTGGTCTCTTTCCTTTCGGCTTTCCCACCAATATCCTGTATGCATTTATTTTCTCCCCCATTTTTATTCATTTATTTATAGTATATTAATGACGCTGTTAGTAACTTATACAATATAACTTCGAACACTTTCATGATATTGTTTAAAGATATGCAGATATATTTAAAAAATCGATTATGGCCTCATTAATATACTACCCCAGCATTCAGGTCTCTACTGACAATTAACTCAATACATATTAATACTACGATTTCATTGTATTTCCGTTTCAAATACGAGTCTTCAATACGTTACTCGCAAAGTTATTATGTAGGTTAATATTCCAAATTCTAGTTGCAGGTCACCAGGTACATTGAAATTTGATTTAACAACAGGACGCCAGGTGTTGAGAATAATAATTAAATCCTGGGTCCTTTCCTATATCCATATTTTGAAAGTTCTTGAAATGCAGTAGTTGACTGTGTTTAATATAAATATAAATAGAAGTTATTTAAAAAAATGTATGTGTTTCAGGAGCGGGACCATGGTAGACAAGCTGCACCACTATCAGGGTTTCCTGGGGCGTCTTCACACTCTGCGAGAGGGCATCAGAGCTCAATGGTCTTCCTGGAGAGAAGAAAACAGCGATGGGGAAGGATTGAGCAATGGGTTCCCGCTCAGTTTCTTGGGCCGGAAGCAGGCCCACAGAAAAGCGTCACAACGCAGCAGCTCTCAGGACCGTGAGGCTACAGACTACTCACACATCTACAGGTAAACTTAGTAAACGGGACTATGAAGTTGTCCCTGTGCTTAACTAATTAAACACTACGCGATAAAAAATGTGTGGGCTAGTGGATGTACAGACCCACGTTTTATTGACCTCTGTATTAGTTGGAGATGAATGGTTAGCTTCACGCCCCGGTTGCTTTACTCCCGTAGAAATATCCCCTAGCATCTATCGGATTGTAGGCTGGATGGCCCCCAAATCCAGTTTGGACCCTGTGGACACAAAAATAATCATACCCCTTCCTGGAATCGAACTACTCCAACACCGCCTTCCAGCCCGCAGAAAGTCGCTATACCGACTGAGCTGTCGCGCCTTGCTGTTCAGCAACAGTATGTATGTTGATGCCGGAAAATGGCTACAGGCCTGATATCTGTCCCCTCTGAAAATTTGGAAGGTAGTATTTTCCCTATCATTAATTATCATGACATATAGACGCATTTCAAATTGGAGGTACAGATCCACGCATTCTTAACATCGGCAATACGTAAGGTGTGTGGTCAGCTTCACGCCCCCACCGCTTTCAGCCTAAGGATAAAGCTTCTAGATCAGGTCTGTCTCCTGCGAAGAAGATAAACTTTTTTTGCCATTACGTGGAACCCAACTACGTTCGTTCTATGTGATTTCCTATTGGTCTTCAGGAGAGAGGAGAAATTTCTTGCCTATGCCGGGAATCAAACCCCACTACCTTAACCCTCTAGCCCCATAGATATGTTATTTTTTTTAGAAAATAATCCTGTTTTAAGAATTGCTGTATTTAAATGTCCCGCGCTGCGAAAGGAGCTGATACCAGAATGCTTTGCAGGGAGAAGACGCGCCAGGAGCTGGTGCGCATCTCGGCAGCCGTGATGGGTATAGAGTTCTCCTACGCCGCCGAGACCGCTTTCGTTTCGCCCATCCTGCTGAAGATCGGAGTGCAACACGAGCATATGACGTTGGTCTGGGGTCTGTCGCCTCTCATCGGATTCTTCGTCACCCCCATCCTGGGTTCACTCAGCGACCGCTGCCATCTTTCCTGGGGTAGACGTCGACCATTCATACTCGTCCTGGCGGTTGGAATCCTCACAGTTAAGTTCAGCGCCTTTATCTGAATGCTTTAGAGGTGAAGAACCTTAGAAACTTACAATTTGTTTATAACTTGGAGTATCCTATAAAGTATGTGAATAACATTAACAAAACTTGGTACGAGAGGTTAACTTTAGAGCTTCTTGAGGATGATATGGACCGCTTCTGTGGTCTAGTACTCACAGTTCCTCGCTACAGATCCATAGTATTGGGTTCGATTCCCGGTGCTACCAGATTTTCTGAGAAGTAGTGGGTCTGGAACGGGGTCCACTCAGCCTCGTGAGGATAATTGAGGAGCTGTTTCAAGGAAACAGAGGCTTCGGTCTAGAAAACCGAGATGAACGGCCGTGGGGATCCGTTGCGCTGATCACGTGACACCCTCTATCCGCAAAAGTTGGCACTAACTTCGCTGACAAGCGGCGGTCGGTAGACTTCGCCACGGAGTTTGTTTCTTGTTTGTAGTTTTAGGATGATATGACGTCGTCTAAAGTATTACATCAGACTTTCATATTTATTAGAAAAGCCAGAACATTTCGCCCGCTAGTTATATTTTTGTCTTCAGATGAAGATATGAAACAGATCCTGCCCTTTTAGGCTCCCTTATTAGGGCTAATCAAAAATAATATACACCGATAATCTCCGTCATGTATGTGACAGTATTTACACTTTAAGTTGTTCAGGCCCAGATAAATAAAAGCTTCTTTTACTTGGAACAAAGAATAAAGTAACGTTCTCTTTTCGTATTCCCACCTGAAGACGGAAATGAATCTAGTTTCTGAAACGTACGGCTTCACTGATCTCTGACGAAAGATGAAACCATATTTATATATTTAAAAATTTGCAAGAAGCATCTAAACTAAATTATATAACTTGGTTTATATTAGCAGCTGTTTTTGTTATATAAAGCAAAGGCTGTTCCTGTGCTTAACTAATTAAGAATTATGCCACGAAGGCGTATGGGGAAGTCGATGTATAGATCCACATTTTCTTGACTGCGGCGCTAACTGGAGGTGAGTGGTCAGTTTCACGCTCCTACCGCTTTATTTCAGGGGAAAGAACCCCTGGTATCAACTGGATAGGAGGCTGGGTGGGCCCCAGAGCCCGTCTTGTCGAAGTGGAGAATATTCTTGACCCTACCGGTACTGGAACTCCGAAACCTCGGTCATCCAGTCCGTAGCCAGTCGCTATACTGATTACGCTGTCCCGGCTCATTTTGCATAAGTTAACATACTGTGGCGTGTAAACTAAGCGTGACTCTGTGCCGTTGCTATGTAACGCCCGCAACATACGCGCACGCAACAATAGAAGAACTTTGTTTTCTCTGTGGTCCGTAACCGATATTTTATAAAATGGTGGTTTGGAGCTTAGTCAGTTGATAGTCTGTTCTCTATGAGAGTCTGTGAAGAGGACTTGAGCCGGAGGCAGAGGAATGACCATTGTTGGAGTCGTTACCAGGAAACCTTTAGTAACAGAGAACATTGGATTGTGTTCTAATGAACTGTAAAGAAGGGAAATAGCGATTGTGTTATAGTTATCCGTAGTTACGACCAATAAATGGTCAATAAATCTCCTCACCAGTCCAAACACCGTCTATATGAACACATTTCACGTGACAGTGGATTATTTAGCAGTTCATGTAGACGTTGTTTTTAGATCAGAGATTTTCACAACTTTGATTGTTCATATTGCGTTCTACTGTGCTGAGACACGGTTCAGCATTTTAGACAGGACGCATGCGATTTCGAAACGAGTATATCTGTCTACAAGACTGTACGGCATCACAGCTCAGAAGACCACAGTCACTATTTGATGACGACGCGCACTGAAAAGCGTTTCACTATACATGTGCGCCATCGTAAGCGTTTTCATAGAAGTTACTTTCGCCGTGTAATGTAGACCACACGCACTTGCAGGTCTGCTGCTCGTTCCCAACGGTGAGGACATTGGGCGGGCCCTGGGTGACGTCTACCCGTCTCACGGTGACAGTGGCAACCACACGGCGACAGCCAGCAACGGGTCTGACTACAGCAACGCCACCTTGGAGCCAGATGCAAACTACCCACACCCCTGGAGCGTGTTCTTCACGGTTCTGGGCACCATGCTCTTGGACTTCGATGCCGACGCCTGTCAGAGTCCGTCCAGGGCGTACCTACTGGACGTCACCCTCCCCGGTAAGAGGGACACTGACCCTATTTTCCTTTCAAATCCTGTATTATTAGGGGTAAGCAGTGGCGTAGTTGGTTGAGGCACTGTGCTACAAACCGGAAGGTCGCAGGTTCGAAAGACAAAGAGATGGATTTTTTTAACTTACCTAATCCTTCCAGCCACAGTATGGCCCTGGGGTCGACTCAGCCTCTAACAGAAATGAGTACCAGGAATCTTCCTGGGGTTAAAAGGCGACCGGCGCTTAAGACAGAAATTAATAATGAGGGATACACAGACAGGAAGAACATCGCATAATCCTACTTTAGAAAAGTAGGCGTATTATTATTATTATTATTGTTATTATTAACTCATATTTATTCACATTTGCAAGAAAAGGAATGAAATGTTGCCCAGTTTATGAAAAGATACAAATATTATGTTTTTTGACATTATCCATGGCCCAGTCTTTATCAAAATAAAAACCGCCCTGTTTAATTTTCAGAACACAACGTTTCGGAGACTGGATTATGTCTCCGTCTTCAGGTAATACATACGCACTAAGTAAAGATAGAAACGATGGATAATGTCAGGAAACATAATATTTATACTAATATAAATTTTAAGATTTCATTTTTTCTATTTTGTTTTAGTTATTGACAATCTGAAATATACATTTCTTTAAGCCAATGTGCTGACTAGTGTGCAGATTTTCAGCTTAATTAAGGATTTTATTTACGTGAAAAGACGCTCATACTTGTAATCATTTGTCCGCACTGCATACTCCATGCAGCTGTTAATATTGTCACAAATATGTCTGACGTTTCTCTTTCCCAGAGGACCACGCGCGGGGTCTCAGCACGTTTACTATAATGGCGGGCCTCGGGGGTTTCCTAGGATATGCTCTCGGAGCCATTAATTGGGACATCACGGCGCTCGGTAAGTTAATATCACACCAATATATACATCTACATACTGGTAAGGATTTTAAGAGAAGCGATTCCAACCTAACAATTCCGTTGCTGAGCAACAACCATGAGATAAGGAAGTATACAACTGTTACTGAATAATTACTTCGTAAATAAGCATATTTTCATCGCGATAGTTAAACTGCAAGGAGGAGGAACTGTATTTTCTTTGCGGTCCGCGCCTAGATGTTATTAACAGGACAATTATTGTAGAGAGTCAGTCAGTGAAGAGTTGAACTGCTGCGGTTCAGTTCTTGCGAACTTTTGCTCTGACAAGATTGAAGCCTAGCGCCGAAACACTTCGGGAACCAAGAGTAAGAGGAACGTTCGCCGCTGGAAGCCGCTACCATGTAACGGTTCGAGAAAACTGAGAAGAATTCATGTGTGCTGATGTTAAAGTGATGTTTGGAACGTGTAACTCAGTGAGACTGTCGTAGTTATTTCTAGTTACGTTCTGTAAGTGTCCAATAAATCCGATTACAAATCCAGGCCCCATCTATAGTCACACTCGTCTAGCCCGGAAATTCACAAAACTAATTGAATTGGGGCCATCAGAAACCGTAATATAAAAAGTATTATTGTTATTTTAAATATGCGGGAAGATAATAATAAAATGAATCTTAGAGATACAGAATGGGGGGGGGGTATGGTGCGTATCGATCTGGCTGTGAATAGGGATCAGTGGAGGGCTCTTGTGAACACGGTAATGAACCTTCGGGTGCCATAAAATGCTTGGAATTTCTTGAGTAGTTCAGTGACTGTTGGATCCTTAAGGAGGATTAAAATCCACATAGTTAGTTAGTTAATTAGCCAGTAAAGAGTCACTTATATCACAAGTTTCCATATAGACACTTCAAGAAACCAGATATGCGTTGTCTCTCCTGTGGCTTCCCGCACACGTGTGAACTGTAAATAGAATAATAATAATATTAATCCTAATCTGAAGATTTGAATTACATTAATGTGACAGGCTAAAGAAGATATATTTAGAACATCTGCCTATCGGAGAACCTCGTGAAAGAAACCTTGTGATTAAAACGAATTGAGCGCCATAGCTCAAGTGGTTAGTCGCTGGCTTCTCACCTCGGCGGCCCAGGTTCGATCCCGGGTCTGGTCAAGTGGGATTTGTGGTGGACAAAGTGGCGCTGGGGCGGGGTTTCTCCGAGTACTTCGGTTTCCCCTGCCAATCTTCATTCCATCAATTGCTCCACAATCACCCACACCTATCATCTGGGGCTGGTACAGTAGGCCAGAAGTGGCCGCAGTGCAAAGGACTTAGTCCCACCCCGCTAGCAATAAATAAAGTTACAACTTATCACATTCACTTGAAGACACGTCTGAGATAGGTTGATACAACCACATGATCTACAGTCAGCACGCACATTACAATCTGAGCTAAAGGTAAAGTAGTGAACGAAGTTCATGGAGGTAGGCCTAGGCCCACTGGGGCTGTAGTGTCAAGGAAAAAAAAAAAAGGTAAAGTTGTATGTGTGCTTAGTTAAGTCTCGAATCGTGAAGAAGTATAGGGGAGTAGAGATAGAGCTCCATCATTATTAGCCAGCTTCACTCCCGTGAAAAATTTACCACCGGAGAGAGAGCCCCCGGTACCCATTGTATAAGAGACTGGGTGAACCCCAGAGCCGGTCTGGATGTTGTGCAGGAGAGAAAAATCTTGCCTTTTGTGGAGATTGAACCCAGGCACTCCAGCCAGTATCCCGTCTCTATATATTTTTTTTAATTCGCTTAGTGGGGGTTGGAGTCCAGCTGGGTCCACTCGGCACAGCGGCCATTGATTGGCCTATTGTAGCCTGCCCCGGGTAATTATGATGATGGAGAATTTTGTGGAATGAAGATTGGCAGGGGAAACCGAAGTACTGGAGAAAACTCGCCCCAGCGTCACTTTGTCCACCACAAATCCAACTTGACCAGACCCGGGATCGAACCCGGGCCGCCGCGGTGGGAAGCCAGCTACTAACCGCTTGAGATATGGCGCGGCCCCCGTCTCTATAAAGACTGAGTTATCTCAGTGACATAAACTATAACGATTTCATTACTTTAAAGACATTTATTGAACCGCAATTCAAATTTCTTATCGAGTTGTCGGCGAAGTAAATTTAAATGAAAGTATTCCATTTTCGTGTATTTAAGGATCGCAAAATTTGCATTTTTATGGAGGCGTATTTATGTTTGGGTGTAGCATAGTTGGTTGGGACACTATGCTACAAGCTGGAATGTCGCGGTTTCTTGTCCCAATGAGGTGGATTTTTCAATTTACCTAATCCTTCCAGCCACACTATGGCCCTGGGGTCGACTCAGCCTCTAACAGAAATGAGTACCAGGAATCTTAGTGGGAGGTAAAGGGCGGCCAGTGAGTAAAGCTGACATCCTTACCGCCATCTATGAGCCGATTTTCTAGAAAATGTGGGAGCCTCGACGTCTCACAACCCTATGGGCCTCCGCGACCTGTTACAGAGATAGCTATTTCTTTTCACAGTAACACGTTATATGATCTCGGTAGTGAAAAGGCGTCATTAAACCCATGGAACGGAAAACAGATTAAAAAAAAAAACATCTAGCAGTCACACTGAACGGCGTTAATAATCTTCCGTACAATTGCAGTCCTGTACACAGTGCTTGTGCCTTTGAAAACAATGCAGCTTTCCTGCTAGCTTGTGCTTCTCTGCTGCAGGAGAGATCCTCGGAGGTCACGTGAGAGCCGTCTTCACGCTCATCACGTTCATCTTCACTATCTGCGTGGCGTTAACTGTGACCAGCTTCACGGAGATTCCGCTGAGGGTGCTGGAGCAAGAAGCTCAGGTGTGACGAGTCTCAACTCAGTGTTAATGGCTGACATATGTCTGGTCGATTGGTTGTTTCACTGCCAGACCTATTTATATATACTAGACTCACTGATTGGTTGGTAGATTGATGATAATCTGGTTATTAATTTGCTCCATAATGTATTGATTCACTGATTGGATGACCGCTTAGTTAATTGGTAGAGTAACTGACTGTAAAACCAGCTGAGTGAACGATTGCATGGTTGATAGACTGGCCTAATCTGTTACTAATAGACTGATGGAGCAATTAAGGAACTGGTCGAGTGTTCAAGGCGTTTAGAAATTCATAGACTGGTTAACCAAATGAGGAAATTATTGACTGTTATAATAAATTATGAACTGACCGACTGGTTAACCAGTTGAAGAGCTGACCGACTGTTTAACCAATTTAGGAATTGACCGACTGGTTAACCAAATGAGAAAATGACCTAATGGCTAACCAACTGAGGATCTAACTGACTGGTTAACCAGGTGGGGAACTGACCAACTGGTTAACTAATTGTGGAACTGAACTACTTCTTAACCAGTTGTGGAACTGATTGAATGTTTAACCAATTGCGGAACAGTCTGGCCAACAGAATAACTAAACAAGCAAATGTCTGGACGAGTGACTGAGAAACCACCTGATTCAATGAGCTACTGAGTAACTGATTCGATCGATTTACTGACTGATCGATTGGTCGATTGCATATTGGTCGATCAGATAACGTACCTATTGACTGACTAATGCTTGCTGTGTTTTCAGATCTTTTTAAATTCTATATCGACTTCATCTTCGCTTCTCGCCGAACGGTGCAGGACCACGATTACATGCGATGAAGTAAAAGGGCAAAGAAGAAACGTTTGTGGCCTGTGTCAAGCCTCTTGTCCCGAAACTACAGAAATCTCTCGCTCCAATCCCGAAAACCCGCCAGTCACACGTCTTATCGGTTTCTTGTCAGTTTGTTTCCGGCCACACCTTTCCAGACTGTTCTGCATGTGTGGCCTTGAAGGGTTTTATGCTGTTAGTCAGTCACATGTACCGACAGGAACATGTCATTATTTCTGGTCTTGCAGGAGGAAGCCATTAGAGCCTCATGAGGTGATTATGGTCACGGTCACACGGTGATACAGTATGGCACGTTTGGCCATGGCAGTCAGGGGATTCACCGCATCTCGATAACACAAGGTCTTCTGATGTAGTAACGTGACGTGACTTTTGAGGATTCCCATAAATGAAAAGATACATGTATATACGATGGGGTACCCAAAAGAAACCGAACTAATTTTTTTGTGGGCAGAGCTTTTGTAGTACCGCGTTTTGCCGCTATGAGCGCATAGAGCTAACATTCCTGAGTCGATAAGCCGACTACCGTTGCTTCAGAAGGTAAGGACTAGTTTCGGCAGAGTTTATAGTGACAACTGTTTTGTGTGATCGTCGTTTTTGCAATGGCCCGAACACATGAAAATGTTGAAAAAATTCGTGAAATCATCAAGGAAGATCGACGACGGACCATTGAAGAAATTGTGGAGCTGTCGGGAGTGACTTGGAGCTCAGTTCAGCGAATTTTGACAGAAGATTTGGGAATGAAAAGGGTGGTTGTGAAATTCGTGCCACGACTGCTGACTGCTGAACAAAAACAAGGTCGCGTGGAAGCATGCTGTGCTTTGAAAGAAGAGTCCCGAAATGATCAAAACTTTTTTTCAGCGTTTTGCTGATGTTGCTGAAGTGAAGGGAAAAAAACGACGGAGGCGCTGTCAAGCATCTCAGAAGATGAATTTAGACAATGTTTTGAAAAATGGAATAAAAGACTAGACAAGTGTGATAGTTTAAGTGGAGAGTACTTTGAAGGGGATTGATGATTTGTGCTTAAAATTTGAATAAAGAAGTTAAAAAAAATAAATTCCGTTTCTTTTGGGTACCCTCTCGTACATCGAGTGAGCTGACGTAGCGGTGAAATTCTAATAGCTGGGAGGTGATCAGTTCGAACCTCGGTCGGAGCATCGGATATTATGAATAAGATTTTGCGTACTTTTCTTCATCCATCCCAGGAAAATGCTGGGATAGAACCACGATTGAATCCATATCTATTTCCATTTCATATATCAACCTACCATTTTGACGCTCTGGAGTCCGCCTCAGTGATCTAGTGGACAGAGTTCCTGGCTACAAATCCAGAGGTCCCGGGTTCGATTCTCGGCGCTATAAGATTTTCTGAGAAGTAGTGGGTCTGGAACGGGGTCCATTCAGCCTCGTGAGGATAATTGAGGAGCTATTCCAAAGAAATGACGGCTCCAGTCTAGAAAGCAGAAATTAACAACCGTGGAGATTCGTTGCGATGACCACGCGACACCCTCTATCCGCTAAATTTGGTACTAACTTCGCCGAAAAGCGGTAGTGGCTCGGTCGTTATAGTTTGCTTGCGGACTGCAGGCTACGGAGTTAGTTTGTTTTGTGGTCTTGCTACCGACAAAGCCGTTAAGTTGCCCAACGAATAACAAAGGAACACAGAAACTGTATTACAAATGAAAATGAAATTTATTTCAGTAGTAGAGCTTATTAAAGTTTATAGAATTAAATCCAAGTGCCGATCACAGTGGCCGCGCGGTCTAAGGCATGAACTGTCTTCGTCCGCTCGAACGCTGGGATCGTGGGTTCGAATCCCACTCAAGACATAGATGTCTGCGTGCGTTTATTCTGTATTTGTGTTGTTTTGTGCGTAGGTAGCGACCTTGCGACGGGCTGATCCCCCGTCCAAGGAGCTCTACGTACTGTGTAGAGATTATGAACTTGAAAGATTGGCCAAGGTCCACGAGGGCTATAGAGCAATAAGTCGATAGATAAAATCAGGGTGATTAATGAAGAGACTAACCAATTAATTAATGCAGAGTAAATAAGTATGCACTAAAATCTTTTTCGGCGATCAGCCTTGTCAATGTTGAGTTAATACCAGTTTTAAATTCAGCATTGACAATGCCGAATCTCCAAGAAAGTTTCATTAGTACATGTATTCTTCGTGAAACTTTCGAGTCTTACGTAAGTGCCTCTTCATATATTATCAGCAGAATTAAGACGAAAATCATGATAAAGGATAACTAATAAATACTAGGAAAATATTGCAACAATAAGTTACAAGCGGAACAGCCAACATGTCAACACAACAAATTCGTAATAAATAAACCACTGCTGCCATATTAACATGCTACATGTTTCGATCCAGCTAGATCATCATCAGGCAAATATTTATCAAATATACACTCGTATTGAGCTGTATGTTTAATGTGGGTCCATATAAGTGGTCATTAATATCGTCACGTGTAGAGTTTGTGCCTGACTTATAGACGGGCTGTGAGTTGGATGATAGGATTTACTGACATCTCGGGATTAGAGGCAATACAGTGCTATCGGTGGTCTACATACATTTTACAGTCCAACGTTACACATTCACTAGTGTTCTCATTCTTCACTAGTCGTATCCTGGCAACGGATTTCAATACGAGAGTTATATTAGTCTGTCACTGTAGCATACATGGAGCCTTCTTTGCACAGTTTAATTTTTTCTTGCCACTTCTTCTCAATCACCTTCGCCTGCCATCCCCAGAACTAGACCCATTCAAATTCTAGCTGCATGAGATCCTCGATATATAACCTCGGGGCGGCCCCCACAGAAAACACTGCTTCCTCTGTTGATTCACAGTTGCAGACATGTGTTTACCTCTCCGTTGCGTTGCAACAGAAAACACCATTCTTCTATCGTTGGAAGCTTTCGTTTCCGCGGGAATGTGTTTGCCGAGCCGTTGCCTAGCAGTGAATTAGTCTGGCTTTCGTGTGTCACGTCACACTATAAATTTCATTACGATTCTCACGTTTCGTTATATTTGAATATTAGTCCTAAAATGAAAGACGTTATAAACTAAATCAAGTACACTGTGACGCCTTGTAGACCGGTATAAGTCCACGGACGTTTCCGAGAACCGTACTGTCTCTGTTTTGAGGGTACCAACGACCTATCAAGGCTTGATTTTGTATCCTCATGATGGATGCAGTGTAATCACCCGACACGTCGGTGAACACCTAAGGAAACACTCGTTGTTAAATCCCAGATAAACTGTGTTAATAGTCACCCCTGTGAGGATGTCAAATGCAGTATACATAAGTACGAACAACTGAGCGCCTCTGTGAAGTTATGTGAAAGTTATGTTACGTAAGACCTTCATCGAAACATTTCTTCTTCAGGGTCCCAAACAGAACGGGAAGACAGAGGACACGAAAATCGCGGACGAAGTGCAGACTGGATCGTACGGGGCTTTGACTGGAACCAATAACATTTCGCAGTCGGATCATCAGGTGAGGAACTTAATGGCAGCTCAGTATATTGTATGGGAGTTGGCCCTTTTAATGACTGTTCATTCCATTCCTCATTTCCTTCTCTTCCTTACATCCATTTCATCCGACGTTTCGAAGGAAGCACTCCATCTTCACCGCCGGAGAATGAACCAAGCAAGCACCTAACAAGACACAAACAGAAACGTACTTTTCCTTTTTCCTAAGCTTCTTCTTCGTTCCTGAAGATGGAGGCAGTACACTCTTCTGAAACGTCAGTGATCTATTGGATTACACGAGAACATACACCAGAAGACAGTAATCCTAAAACTTAGAATGTCTTTCTATTTCTTCATGTTATGTAAATATTGCATATTATTTCCATGAAGGACCCGTACCATCGAATTGAAGGTCAGAACGCATGCGCAAGTAGCTACACCAATTACGGCTACGAGGAGGGTTACCAACAGGAAGTGACGATAGCAGAGACAACTTTCAGTGCTCCAGATAATAAGGTATGCAGTGCAGATGCGTAAAGTTACAGTAATCATATTACTTGGTAGGGGAGTGGTAAATTCTTGTAACTGTAAGGGTGAGGGCACGTCAAGGAAACTGGCAACCGGAATTTCCGAGTTGAGCACATGTTACTCAATGGAGCAACGCAAATTGAGGGAACTGCGTTGTCGTTTGGTGCAGCGCAAATTGAAAAAACTGCGCTGCCGTTTCTTCAATTTGTGCTGCTCCATACAGTTAATGTGTGTTCAATTCAGGCTCGTAACAGTTCTCGGTTGCATCGCGGTTGCCAGTTTCCTTAGTGTGACCTAAGAGTGACCCATAAGAGATACCGAGCCAATTTTCTGAGTCTTCATCAGGTTCGCTCATATTTGTGAATGGAAATTTAAATTGATGGTTTCTAACTTACATATTAAGTTATTTTATTATTGTTATTTTACTGCAATTGGGTGTTCAACCGGTGTACTTTGTCTGATGAATTTACCTTGTTCTTCCGTAATATAAATCGACGTTTCGACAAGACAGTAGACGAGAGCCTGATTACAGAATTCGAGGTATGGGAGATGACAGTTGAAAGAAGAGACATGGAGGAGACTTGACATGACAGTGATTTTCTTGACTGAGGCTTTCCTGTTGTTCCCTTGTTACTCCAGACAAATTATCGGGAGACTATTGCGATTAAACCATCACCGCTTCCTTCCAGATTCTTTCTGATTCATCAGTTTTCCTACCATTCGATGCTATGTACTGAAATCATTGTAAAATAACAAACGAAATAAATTACGACATTGCATGACGCCGTTTGAATTGTAACAACAAATAAATTATGAACAAGATCATGGTCAATAGTAGAGTGAATTTACCGACTACACAACACTTTTTTATTATCACTACATGTTTCGACCTTAAGAGGTCATCTTCAGGTNATTATAATTTTAACCTGTGTTTTATAAATAGAACTCGATATATTAGTGAGCGTAAGTCTGGAAAAGATACAAGGTCGAATGAGTGACCGAGTGTAATTATACAGCCGTGTTCATACACCTGAAGATGACCTCTTAAGGTCGAAACATGTAGTGATAATAAAAAAGTGTTGTGTAGTCGGTAAATTCACTCTACTATTGATTAAACACACAACAGGATGCAAGAAACGATAAAAAAAGATCATGGTTATTCAGAATGGTCGGAAAACTGTGACTGAACTCAGAATATCTGATTCCCTTATAGGATCGAAAGGGTGTACAGATCAGACATTTGGTTCAGTATGCTACAGCTAGCTATCCCTTTAACAGGCCATGAAGGACCATAGGATTTTGAGACTTTGAGCCTATATTATCTAGAAAATAGGCTCACAGATGGCTGTGAAGTTGTCAGCCTTATACGCCAGCCGCCCTTTACGCCTCGGGAGGATTCCTGGTACTCATTTCTGTTAGAGGCTGAGTCGACCCCCAAGGCCATAGTGCAGCCGGAAGGATTAGGTAAATTGAAAAAAAATCCACCTGATCGGGACTCGAACCCGTGATCTTCCGGCTTGTAGTATAGTGCCTCAACAAACTACACTAGTTTGCCCCTCTTCGGTATGATAGTGGAGTACTGATGTGGCTTGCCGCAGGAAGTGTTCAGCATCCCTGCGGAGAAGACCAGCGCCACCTTGAAGCAGTACCTGCAGTCCATCATCTTTATGCCGAACTCTCTGCGTATTCTGTGCCTCACCAACCTCTTCTGCTGGAGCGCTCACATCTGCTACTCGCTGTACTTCACCGACTTCGTTGGAGAAGCTGTCTTTGAAGGTGACCCCAAGGTGGGTTTCATCGCGTTGCTATAAATCCTTTTAAAATGGTGGTTCGGGTGAGACTTAGCCCAGTAGGTACTTCGGCCGCCATTGGGCCTATTATACCAGTCTAGAATGTTGAGTGAGTTTGAAACAGGCGGGAGAAAGCAACTCATTATCTGAGACGGAAATATTCAGAGAAAAACCGCTTCAGTGTCAAAGTTTTACCACAAATCCCACAGAACTTGACATTGGTAAGATCCTGGGCTTCGTACCTCGCTGTTAACTCTTCATTTTCACGTTCTGTAGCTCAGGGGGTTAGTCGTCGGATTCATATCGCTGAGTACCGAGTTCGTATCCAGGTCGGTCTATGTGGGATTTATAGCAGAAGTGACATTGGGGCAGGTGTCACTCCAGATACTCAGGTTTCCCCCCCAAACAATTGCTACGAGGAAGAGTCAGTAAATGGGTTATAACATAAAACGTGTGATATTCGAAACATGAACAAATATTTATTTCTCTACCAACATTGATACAGTTGTTCCATCGCTTTACCAACGCGTCGAAACCCGCAGCACAAAAGTAAATATTTTGACTGTTGCCTCATCCACTTCGGCATCTCCGTTTTAACCTCTCCGTCATCAGCGAAAACTTTGCAACGTTTCTCGACCCAGTTGTGAACTGTTTTGCGCTACAAACACTTTCCAATGTAAACAGGAAATATTTCTTTATGAATATCCTTTGTATTAATCCTCTTGCCCATAAAATACGTACAACATAACGCTGTTCTTCAGTAGTATACATCTCAAGCTCTGTCACTCTCTAGACTACTGAAACCAGCCTGTAAACATGGGCATGCGCGTCTCCTACCTAGACTGTCGTGAAGCAGGACTGTGCTGCTACCTAGCGATACACATAGAAACGTATTACGTCCATTACAACTGTTTTACTTCCGTTTGTGTCCTATTTACTGATTCTTCTTACTTCATGAGCACTCTATTGTCTCATGAATCAACCGAGGCTTGTACAATGGACCTAAGTATAAAGGGACTCGGTCTGCAAGGCTCATGAGTAGACAATCAAAGAGAAACAGAATTATGTGCATTTCATATAGTGGCCTTCTGATTTGTGACACCGTGTAGTGTGGTAGCTGAATACCGACATGTAGGAAGGACGTAATACTTACATCTTCTTCTTTCACTATTTTATGTTCTCAAGGTGGTAACAGTGTTGTGTGTTGCCTTGTTGCTTGCCTTACACTCTGATCCAGAAGAATGAGGCAATACCTCTGAAACCTCAAATCCCAAAATTACTGCCCCGTAAGCCCATAAATTTTTATTTGTCCTAATTCCATATAGAGACCAAGAAATGGAAAAGTGTAACATGCAACACAAGAGTGAGTGGGATATTCGGAGAGGAAATATATCTTTACGTAAATTCGGTATAATTTTGCTTTCTCGTGCACACAGTACATACGTTGTAAGAGAAAGTGCTGAGACTATTACAAATATGGATATCAATATTTTGACGGAGTTACACGAATTCAACCCCCCACCCCTGTTTACGAAAAGTGATTTTTGCTAAGCAGTCTCTCTGTATGTATATTTTATATATGTAAGTATGTGTGCATGGTTGTGCCACTCATGGCGCCTAAACACCTCGACGGATTTTATTCTTGTTCGGTATTAAATTGTTTATTCATCCTAGATCGATGTCCAGTGAGTCTCAGCATTCCAGATTGAAAATTAGGGGCTCTTCCAGTAATTCCTAAATAAGAGAATGTAAAATTTATATGAAATATTTCACACAACTTTGATTAAGTGGATTCTAAAGGGTTCTGGTGATGGTGTGTAACATTCAGAATTACTCGGTTTCTGGAGTTTTTCCATCACCCGGTATTCTAGGAACCAGAAAACCCGACATTTCGGAAACTAGATCTATTTCCAACCTCGCATGAGGGAGGAAGACACGTACTCTGTTGAGTTAGCTCTTTCTAAGGGCCCAAGCTGAGTAGGTGTTTTCTCCCTCACATAAGGATGGAAACAAATCCAGTTTCCGAAACGTCGTGTTTTTCTAGAGTACCGCCAGACGGGAAAAAAATCCAAAACACGGTAATTCTGAGACCCTCTATTGAATTTACGTAATTCAAGAAGACCACATTCCTAAATAAAATTACATATGTGTCACCTTGAGGGACGGCCTCTGTGGTCTAGTGGTCAGAGTTCCTGGCTACAGATCCAGAAGTACAGTTTCGATCCCCGGCGCTACTATATTTCTGAGAAGTAGTGGGTCTGGAAGGGGGTCCACTCAGCCTCATGAGGATAATTGAGGAGCTATTTCAAGGAGATAACGTCTCCGGCCTAGAAAACCGAGATTAACGCCCGTGGGGATTCGTTGCGCTGACACGCGACACCCTCCATCCGCCAAAGTTGGCACTAACTTCGCTAAGAAGCGGCGGTCGCTCTGTCGGTATAACTAAAACCACGGAGTTTGTTTTTGTTTTTGTACCTTCAGGAATGTAGGCGCACTACAGGTTCAAATGCAAAATGTAATATTTTCTTGAAAGCTGCCTTATTGGTGGGACGGATTTCGTTTTTGTTCGGCATTCAGCAACCAGCAGATAATTATGGTGGATCTCGAAGATAATATGATAAAGGTCAGTTGCAAATAAGAAAGTTTGTGTTTGTTGGCAGGCAGCAGACGGAACGCCTGAGAAAGAACTATATGAAGAAGGCGTCAGGTTTGGCTGCTGGGGAATGTCTATGTACTCACTGTCCTGCGCCTTCTATTCGCTTATTATCGAACGTCTCATCAAGAAATTCAGGTAGTGTGCATATTGTCCTGTATATATGTGACTGTCGACAGGCTGTTTGCATTGGAGATCGGATTTACGTATTGATCACTTAACAGATTGTAACTAGAATTAACTGTAACACCATCGATAGTTTCCACACTTTACAAATCACTGCAGCATACGCCAAGCCTTTTCAGTCTGCTATGTCTTTTCCTGCTAACGGTTTCTAACAGCGGGGATTCTTCGGCCTTCACGCTTACTTCTTCACAGACGCCCTCACAACTCTCAAACCTCTTGACACCGAATACGTAGAAAACAGTTTATTGTCGTGGTAATATATTTGTTTGCGAAGGCGTTACTCGGTAAAGGCTGAGAATAATTTCTTGTTAAGAATCTGTTTCATAGCAGCAGATGCCCTTTCATTGTCTACACGCTGCAATATATATACATATTCCCCCCCCCCGTGTGGAGGCAGGTTAGAATAATTCCACCGTAGCCCTGCGAGTCGTGGAAGATGGCGAAAAGGAAACCCCGTACCTGGGGACATAACTGGGCCACCCTGTCACTGGGGGACTTAGATACAAAGACCTGGTCCTGCAGGTTGGGTGTTGGATACAGGGCTGACGACCTTGCTCTGTAAACCAAAAATTATTGTTACCAAATCCTTAGGCCTGAAAATCGAATCAGATCTGGCAGAGCCTTCTAAGGAAGTTTATCGCTGAAGTAGGGTTGTTTTACCAGTGATGATATATATGAACCATTTTATAGGGCATAATACTTGCTTATAAGGTAATACAGTAAAACCTCGGTAACCTGAATTGACTTGGCTTATCTAGAAAAAATCCGCCATCTTGAACAATTACAAATTCAATGTACTTGTTTTATTTCTTTGCAGTGAAAATGAATCCTTGTGAAGCATGACGTTATGTGTTAATGTGCCTGCCGCTCTATAGCTTGTGAAAGAAGTAACCTGGTTACTGCTTGCCTGGAGCCCGACGTGTTGTCGAACACCCAAGGGTTCCGGGCCTTGTGCCTACAAGTCTTTTGAATAAATAATTTTACTAAAAATTCTAATTTTTTGAGTTCAATAGTCCAAACGAATCGATAGTCAGAACACGCCGGTACTTTAATAAGTTCGGATTAAAGAGGCTAGACTCTACTTATAAAAGCCGGAATAGGCAAATCTATCCCTGTAATCGGCCTTGGGGAACTATAGGTTTGTCAGACGTCGAGGCTCCCACATTTTCTAGACAATCAGCTCACATGTGTTTGGCTATTAAATACTCACCACTTCATTAGCTCCAAATTATCATCATAGAGTTCATAATCTGCTGTCGGACACAGTTGACTACAGTATAAACACGCATAGCCTCATGTCTTCTTACGATCCATTCTAAACCTTCTCCCATCTGTGATAAAAATTTCCATACAGACGTATGATTCAGACGTTTTGAGACCGTTTTTACTCCCTTTCCTATGCTTTCAGGATAGAAGACTAATTTTTTAACAAATTTTAATTTATTTTTTATATTTTCCTTTTTTAATTTCGATTATTTCCAAAAATGTAGGGGGGGGGGGAAGGAGTTACCTGCCATATGCCTTCCTCGGTCAGCGACCACAGTAAACCCTGCATTTGTATATTATATAAATATTTATATTATCAGGAGCTGTGATATCTCATTCCGTTTAGAGACGGGTTGGACGGTCAGGGTTCGTTTCCCGGTAAGGGCGAGAGATTCTTCTCCCCAGGGTCCATACCGGCTCTGATGCTCAAACAGTCTCCAGTCCAACAGGTACTGGGACCAGTGGCTGGGACGTGAAGCTGAGCACTCACACCCATTTAGTGCCGAGGTCAAGAATGGTGGAGCTACTCTTATACCTCGTCTTCATGACGTGGTACTTAATTAACTGAACACAAGGATAACTGTTAGAACCTCTCATGTAATATTTCACCAGAATTTGGCAAAGTTCTAATTACTTTCAAGATATGCGATGGTGTTCCTATGACGTATAGCGCACTTGAAAGCCACTGCACCAGAAGGCAGAGAGATCGCGTGTTGAACCAACATTGTTTTGTCTCTTCAGGGCTCGAAATGTATACATAAGCGGACTCCTCTTGGACAGCCTGGGAATGTTGATGTTGGCACTTATGAAGAACCGATATGCAGTAATTATCTTCTCTGCGTCAGCAGGGGTTATGTACTCAACACTGTTCACACTACCATACCTCCTAGTGGCACATTATCACGCCGCGGGAACGGTAAGTCTGAAGGTGGAAACAAATTGGGTTGTTGGCAAGCTGTAAGCTTCACTGCCTGACCACTCTACTCATGGTGAAATTAGTTGTAAGGCTAATGTAGAACTTTTCTCAAACCATATTTTGTCTTAATTAATCCTGCGTTTACAAACTGGAAACATAAATTGAAAATTTACAAAAATTGCATCATTAAAAATATGTGTACAATAAATATTAAAGCTAATAATATGATCTTTGAACGAAAATAATTTACTTTGTTTCTCAGGTTGTCCTATCTGTTATATATATTCAGATTATACATGAAGAATGCTGTCTTTTGGGATGCGGCGCCGTGTAGATCTTGTATTAACAGACGTTTCGGAGGAACGTTTCGCCCCATCTTCAGTGTAGAAAATTCCGCGTGCGAGGAACCAGCTTGAGCAGGTGGCTGCAGACTTAGCAGACTGTAGGTCTTGTGTTAACAGACGTTCCTCCGAAACGTCTGTTGACACAAGTATACACGGCACCACATCCAAAAATAAGGCATTCTTCAGAGCCACCGCCGTGAAAACCTCCAATCTTACAGATTTTCATTGTTTTATTTTATTCTAGTTTGGAGTATCAAAGGAAGGAGAAGCTGAGCGTGGCACACAACTCCGAGGTCTGGGAACAGATGTTGCTATTGTGAGCAGCATGGTGTTTCTAGCCCAGTTTGTTCTCTCCATGTTCATGGGATTTTTTGTGGCCTTCTTTGGTACCACAACTACAGTAGTTAGCGTTGCCGCCATCCTCAGCTTCTGTGGAGCCATCGCAGCTACTCAGGTGATGTACCTGGAACTGTGAGTGACTTCTTGCTGAATGACTCAAGTGACTAGAGTAGGTCTCAACCTAAGTTTGCTTGGAGCCATCGCAGGTACTCAGGTGATGTACCTGGAACTGTGAGTGACTTTTTGCTGAATGACTCAAGTGACTAGAGTAGGTCTCAACCTAAGTTTGCTTGGAGCCATCGCAGGTACTCAGGTGATGTACTTGGAACTGTGAGTGACTTTTTACTGAACGACTCAAGTCGTTTGAGTAGGTCTCAACCTAAGTTTGCTTGGAGCCATCGCAGGTACTCAGGTGATGTACCTGGAACTGTGAGTGACTTTTTACTGAACGACTCAAGTTGTTTGAGTAGGTCTCAACCTAAGTTTTTTGGAGCCATCTTAGCTACTCAGGTGATGGCCCTGGAAGTGTCAATGGTTTCACATTGAATGACCCTGTCATTCTGTTGTTTGACCAGTTGTTGGGATTTAACTGAGACCTTCAGATCTAAGTCATGACTCATTATGCTCTCATCAGACTGAAAAAGGAGCGCAGCCTGAAGCGCTGTGTGGAAATTAATTGTCCACTCTTGGAACCTCAAACCTCCTCTCACATAGGGCTGGACACCTCCAGGATTATTTCCAGTGGGGTGGTAACCAGTTATGCAAGGGTGTGAGGAATAGAACAATATATTTTTATTAAAAATCCGTTTAATTATTATGAATAATTTTTGCATACAGTACATACAGATTCATCGCCCATTTTGAAACACCTGATCAGTATTGCAAATGACTTTGTATTAAATGAAACAATTATTTTAATATTCCTTTAAGTGTTCTAAAACGCATGGGTAGTTTTTAATGAAGTGTTTTGATGAGTAATGGCAGAGACACTAGTCACGGAGGAATATAATTTACTAAAGAGTCGATCTTTATAGAGCGTATCCTATTGCGTTATTAAACTAACATAATTGCCATGTTCCATCTAGGCAACATTAAGAATGTTTACTCATTCAACTATTTATTAGTAATCACTACATGTTTCGACCATCCAACTGGTCATCATCAGGTGCTAACAATATTTAAGTGTTTTTGAATAGCAACAATTTCAACTAAATAGGGGCCAATATGTTAGTTTAAAGTGGTTACAATTCAAAGACACTTGTTAAGTATTGTATCACTTAATGATGACCAGTTGGATAGCCGAAATATGTAGTGATTATTAATGAACAGTTGAATTAGTATACATTCTTACGGTTGCGTAGAGGGAACACGGCAATTAGATCACTAAACAGTCATTTTATGAAAAAAAATACATAAACAAAATATTCATTATTTGTTATATATATATATTTGTTAATTTTTTAAAAATTCTTTTTATATATTTTTAAGATGAAGATTTTGATTTGTTGTGAAGAAGTCACGAGTGAGAAATAATCTGTTACACGAGTAAGATTCTGTATTAAAATTAGTTACCAATCCTGATATTTCACCCATAATAAACTGGTAAATTATAAAATACCAGTAACCATCAAGACTGTCCTCTATCAGTTTGGTTCCTCTCACGTAATTATCAGAATAAATGATTCTGTTATATTTTCTTGCTTGAATAATTGCAGTAGAGAATCCAGATACCAGAACCAGAAACAAAGTAATTGTCACAATATTACCACGTTTTTTCCATAATAACCCTCAAGGGTTTCCACTCTTATGAAAAGAAAATTGATAGAATTTAGATGTAATATTTGATAAGTTTTTAAAGGAATTAATTTCAGTTTTAAATATTAGGAACTTAAGTTAAACTAAAGTGTTTATCCCTATTTAAGCTTTAATGTGCATTTTAGTAACAGACTTTACAACGTGTCTTCTTTATTACATTATTGAACAAATGTTTTCATAAGGTCTCGTCAATCTGGACTATCATATCTTGAAATGTCTCCGAAAGTTTTCTATGGGTTGGACATATTTCAGTTCAGCCTGCCAGCTATTTATCCTCATGCATATAAAACATGAAATCGAGCAGTAACTGACACAAGATAGCCAAGTCAAATTTTTGTCCCTTTTGATAGTGAAGAAGATAAGTCTGCCATACTGATTATACCTTCAGTATTTCATGGCTGTGTATTTTTTGTCAATATAAATACTCTTAAATAAATTTGAATGTAAGAAATGCAACATAACGTTCTCTTCTTTACCTGTCTGTGCGCGTTACATGACGAGAATTCTGTTTGTATTTACAACACTTATCAGCACAAAGATGAAGTGACAATTTGTGGAAGAAAATATTATATCATTATTATTATTATTATTATTATTATTATTATTATTATTAGAGGGGGTGGGTTCCCCATGCACTTAGACCAGTTACTGGTCCATTGTGCGTCCCCCTTTAATTTCTACTGTCGCCGTACCCTACCGNACAGGTACTGGTGCGTGCTATCAGCCCCGTTCAGCCAACGAGATCGGCCGTCGGTACCTGATATTTCCCCCCATCTTCCAGAGGCATTGGAAACTACTTGGGCTTGAAATTGTTGCCTAATTTTGCTCAGAGGTCTCCTAGAAACATGAGGATCTTTTACGTGCCGTAAATCTACGACACTGGACCCACGGCTTAAAGTCCCTCCCGGAGGACTTGTTCCTTGAATTTTTCCGCCCTTAAAAATTCCACGACCTCCGCCGGGTTTGAACCCGCGTACCTTGAGTCATGAGGTGGGAGCGTTACCCCTAGACTACGGAGGCCTCTTTATGATACCGTTACTTCTGTAATTAGTGTGGGTGTAGTTTTAATTGGTTTAGTTTCGTGCGGTTTACGCCAAGTATTTTTTATATAATTAATAATATTGTATCTAATTTTACTAGTACTGCGGTTCAGCGGTATTTGCCTGATGATGGCTACTAATAGCCGAAACATGTAGAAGAACGAAACTAGACACTGATTTTGATATTTGTTGTGTTGTGACGGTTGTAATACAGAGGCTGTATATTGTAACACAACAGGATGCATGTAATGGAAACTTTTCTGTGTTGTTATGTATGTATAAGCAGTCATAACATTATAGTTGGATAAACACCGCCGAATGTGTGTATTGTGGATCGTCGGAGTGACACTATTAAAGGCAACAACTCCAGATCAATGCAAGACTGGGATATCTCAACAACTGTTCCTTTTCCGGCTACGAAGATGGTCCACAGGACATACACTCCTCAGACTTCCGGTTGTTCCCAGCTAACCTTGAAGACACATCTTAGCTACATGCATCTTGTTCCGGAGCAACATATATGTATGTAAAGAGTGTGTATTCCGTCAGATGTGACTAGTTTGCTGTGAATATACAAATTACCTTACATGTTTCGGCCTGTCTTGGTCATCATCAGAGGATTCATAAACACACTTCACACGGCAAACTTGATCAGCATATGAATACAAAGTTTCGTTTTTTTTTTTACCGGTTCCACGGCTCCGTGTATCACAGCGAGTGTCAATGTTAATTGACATTATTTTCTGATGAAGCATGGTTTCACTTGCACAGATACATAAATACGCAAAATAATCTCTACTGGAGTTCACAGAATCCACTTCAGAACCACGAAGTCTCTCTCCATCCAGTGAAAGTGGGTGTCTGGTGTGCTGTAGGTGCAAGAAAGATTGTTGTACCTGTGTTTTATCGAAACAGTCAATTTCAAAGGAACTTTACATTTAGAGGGACAACATTTTCAAAGCCTCCTGTGACACGTGGACTGTAACTACGTCATTCCGCGCCTAATCGGCCGCCAGACATGCTGATTTATCGGCAAAATTCGTATGCACCTCGCGGCGAGCGGCGCCCCGGTCACCTTGAAGCACAGAGCAGTGGAAACGGCCAACAAAGTAAATGTTCTCTGTCTATACGTCTTACACATACAAATACACTGCTCCTAACAACTGAAATGTATTTAATTAAACCATTAGTAATTAAACTCTACGTAATTAACTACTAATTAATTTGTAATTAAAAATTATCTTATTTTAAATATATAAAAATCTTGTGCAGCGACATCCAGGTATGGAAGGAAGCTGTGAATATATAAATAAGCAATCGCTGATAGCCGACAAGAGGTGGTCCTCAAGTTTGGGAGTTGGGCGTGGAACTAACAACTCCTCACCATAAAAAATGACTTTGTTACGAAAATTCACAAAAACTTCAGACCTGGACGGATCCTCTGGTTAGCTTCGTAACTTGTACTCTTCTCCAAGTACAATTAGAATGATCAAGTCAAGGAGGATGAGTTGGGCAGGGCATGTAGCACGAACGGGCGAGAAGAGGATTTCATGTAGGATATTGGTGGGAAAGCCAGAAGGAAAGAGACCACTGGGAAGACCAAGGGGTAAGTGGGTGGACAATATTAAAATTGATCTTAGAGAGATGGATGGGATGGATTGGATTGATCTGGCTGAGGATAGGAACCAGTGGAGGGCTCTTGTGAACACGGTGATGAACCTTTGGGTTCCATAAAATCCTGGGAAGTTCTCAAGCAGCTGCAGATATGGCTTTTTCTTAATAAGGGCTCAGCTCCATAAGTAAGTAAGTAAGATCCTTGTGCAGAGATACAGCACGTAGGTTATAGCGAATATGTGTAGTGTTTCTATTTCTGATGTTCGCAAGACAGGCCATATATATGCAAGGCAATTTGTGTACGCACAGTATACTAGCAACAACACAATAAATCGATGACTTGGACAAGATTCGAATAGAGCATCTCCCAAATAGGAATCAAGAATGATACCGCTACTCCAGTCCGCTCGGTCCGTGATTATAAGCATTAAAATGATTCATGATTCATTCCATTCATTCATCAGTAATCTGTCAGACGACAGATAATGTGGTAGTTTTTCCATTTGCTTTCATGATATATATATATATAACAAAAAATGTTCTTATTGGATTTCACTCTGAGCCCGTTCAATGCAGTTCAGATAGTCAGAACACATTTCTCCAAGACAGGTGTCAACAGTCAGTACAGCGATTTGGCTGTGGGCTGGAAATCCTAGGACTCGGAGTTCGGTTTCCAACAGGTTTAATAAATTTGTTTACTCGCGAGACCGACTTCAAGCCCCACGCAGTCTCTTTTCCGATGGTAACCCAATTCTCCTCCGTTTGGGGCAAAGGTGCCGGAGCTAGAAGCTCACCACTCACCTCTGTACGGTGCTGAAGGTTAGAAATACACACAGGTACGTACTTTATATTCTTCCCTGCGCCTCCTTGGCATGGTGTTTAATTGCTCACAGTAACGTTCCCTTCATGGTGTTAATATCAGCCTCTAATTTCCTCCTGAGCTCTCCTGTTTCTTGCTTATCCCATCCTTGCGTAGTGATGTTTTGTCTTCCCATATAATATGTAATATAAGGTCAAGTCAAGGAGAATGAGATGGGCCGGAAATGTAGAACGAATAGGGGCGAGGAAGAATGTATGTAGGATATTAGTGGGAAAGCCGGAATGAAAGAAACACTGGGAAGACCAAGACGTAGATGTTTGGACAATATTAAAATGGATGTTAGAGAGATGGGATAGGATTGTATGGATTGAATTGATCTGGCTCAGAATAGGGACCACTGTAGGGCTTTTTGAACACGGTAATGAACCTTCGGGTTCAATAAAAAGATGGGAAGTTCTTTAGTGGTTGCAGAATTGGCGGTTCCTCAAGAAGGGCTCAGCTCCATGAATGAATGAATGAGTGAGAGTATATATTCAGCGTTATCTAACATGACTGTTCTAGAGAACTGTAAGTCACTAAGTTAATTTTTATATAATATCTTCCGTTATCCATTTATTGCTATTCTGTTTACATACTTTTTATGTTAGTAACTTGTGTTTCACGTGCTAATAGTAACACGCATTCTTTGCTTACAACAAAAGGTCTTTCCCATAACATCACAAAAAAGGGAAAAAATTGTTGTGCGTCATAATCTTATCCATTTTTAAAAGAATTGTATCCTCTTGCATATATACAGTGAACATATACCATTCTTACCGTCAACGCAAAATTACTTTATCATTTATATTTGACGCACTAGACGTTTCTAATTCAAATAGGTCATCTTTAGGTGTTGCAAATTTCGGTAATAGTATGTGAGAAATTTGCAATACCTGAAGATGACCCATTTGAGGTCGAAATATGTAGTACGTGCTATATAAATAAATAAATATTAAATATTGTAGCACTGATATTAAGAATTGTATATCTTCATAACCTTACCCATATTTGAAAATGACATGTCATAATAATTTTGACCCCGAATTTCCAAGTATATTCCATTCATAATACACTTTTATTCGAGGTTTATATATGTACTTAATTCTTTCGTTTTCTGACAGATATAATTTCCTTTAATATGCTAAAATTTTAGAACTTCTGGACCTGTGGATTAACGGTCACCGAGAGTCAAGATGGCGTCTTCATATTCAAAACATCAAGGGATCCAAACAGGTAAATACTACGTGTATAATCTCTCAACACATAAATCTCGTATTTTAACTGAGGTCCTTTGGTGTTTGATCAGATCAGTTGTTAGTTTCTTTAACGTAACCGTTCAGAACGCTGATCATAACAAAGTCAGAACATTACAACCTCATTATGAACATCATCCAGATAAATATGTCTATATACTTCTTAACCAAGAAATAAATATAAGGTTTTGTACTGAAAATATCAAACCAATTATCATACTGTTAAATTTCATCTGCCCTAAGAATCAAGGCGTGTCATATTTTGTGAGGGAACAATTTTTACGGAAGAAAATCCTGTTCATTCATGTTTCAGTTTCTCACCGGCATTTGGTTACAAGAATAAAGTTGAAAACAGAATTTAGTAATGACGTAACAGACTACCTCACTAAGGGACGAGGCTCCATACTAAATGCAATATGGTCACCACTGTTGTGGGATGAACATTGGTTTCCTGCATTTGATTTCGGGTGTTCTCCTTTCAGTGACTAACAATATGGCCAGGTTACTTGGTAGGCGCGCTTTGATAGTCTTTCTTCTTCCGCTGAGGAAGGCTCCAGAACTTTTGGTCTGTTCCGAAATGAGCGGCGTCATGAACTGTTTCCGGAAGCTTCTGGTTCAGCGTTTCCGGCAGAAGACTGGCACAGATGGCACCAACGACGCAGAGGACGCTGAGGATCGCGTGTGGGTACCTCGGGTCGGCCACGGTTCCCTGGAAGCATATGCAACACGATCGTCATGCACCTGTGATCGCAGCCCTAAGCAGTTTCGCGTTGTATGACACACTAAACGTTTGTGGTATGGCTGATATATTATATTGTAGCGTGTATAGCCGTTGCTACGCAACGACCGCGAGATGAAGCATGTGTTACTTGATAACGGCCGGTAAACACGTAAACAATATTCGAGCTATCGCTATGACAATAGCTCATAACAGCAATAGAAGACATGTTGGGGGGGGGTTCTGTTGGGCCATATAATGAGGACCCCATGACAGCTCACTGGAGTTGAGAGGCTGAGAAAAGATGGCACTATAGTTGAGTTGATAATTGAGAGAGGGATATTTGCTGGACAGGGAGAGCCTGAAAGGGGGAAGCTGAAGAATCTCCATTGTTGGGAGCCGTTATCAGGAAATGGTTGTTTAAGACACTGCAGGATGGAGAAGGTTTAGTGTTTGCAGCCGTGATTTTTAAGTATGAACATCGATAGTGGGGCTGTTGTTCCTTATATATCTGAGTGGTGTGTACGAGTGGTCAGTGGATCTGTTCCCCAATCCAAACCCCGTCTATAGTCACACACAAAAATCGTGATAATATCAAATGATCCTGAACATATTTCTCCATGATATACGACTTCTTCGGAGTTTTATTTATAATTCGCTTAGTGGGGGGTGTAGCCAACTGGGTCCACTCGGCACGGCGGCCACTAATTGGCCTATTGTAGCCTGCCCCGGGTGATTATGATGATGGAGAATTTGGTGGAATGAAGATTGGCAGGGGAAACCGAACTACTCGGAGAAAACCCGCCCCATCGCCACTTTGTGTACCACAAATCCCACTTGACCAGACCCGGGATCGAACCCGGGCCGCCGCGAGGGCAAGCCAGCGACTAACCGCTTGAGCTATGGAGCTGCCTTTCTCCGGAGTTACATAAGCTCAAGTCTACATGTCTTCACAACAACAGAATATTTTATTATTTATTATGCTGATCTCTCACAAACTCAACTTGCAGAACGAAAATGGTTTCATACGACATGCGACTTTTTTTAAATATCAACTTTCCCATCAGTTTTTTTTTTTTTTTTAAAACTCGTCCCATCGACGCGACTAAAATTTAGTTTCAGCGACATTTGCACTAACAGTTGCGCGGGATCGGACGATATGATTTCTCGCCGAATTCAGCTGAGTATTTTCCCACCGTCTGTGAGGTTAGTGCTTAGTTGGAATTTCGTTCCCATTACGAGTTTATTGACAATTAACTAACCGGTCACTTCAATGCGCAAGCGGCAGATGCCAATGGATTCATATACGAGATCGGTTTCATGCGATCGGTCGCGCTAGTGAAAGAACAGCGTTAGTCTAGGACTAAAAATGACGGCTGGAATTGATTCCAGGACCTTATGAACACTAGGTTAGTGAGCTAATCATTATGGAAATGGGATGGGTCATATTCTTTCCCAACCGTTAGCACCAAAATTAGAATAAACTACTGTATTTTCAGTTAGTTTTTAAACAAATTACATGAAGATTGAATTGAATCGGTCACTTCAATGCGCAAGCGGCAGATGCCAATGGATTCATATACGAGATCGGTTTCATGCGATCGGTCGCGCTAGTGAAAGAACAGCGTTAGTCTAGGACTAAAAATGACGGCTGGAATTGATTCCAGGACCTTATGAACACTAGGTTAGTGAGCTAATCATTATGGAAATGGGATGGGTCATATTCTTTCCCAACCGTTAGCACCAAAATTAGAATAAACTACTGTATTTTCAGTTAGTTTTTAAACAAATTACATGAAGATTGAATTCATTTTTAAAATCGAAGGAAACTCCTACAAGTGTTTTGAAAACGTGGCACAGTTCAGATATTTGGGAATGACAGTAAGAAATGAAAACCCGATTCAGGAAGAAATTAAAGGAAACTGAATTCGGGTAATGCTTCTTACCATTCAATCCAGAGCCTTTTATTTGTCCAGCTGCTGTCTAAAAACGTAAATTAAAGCATAGAAAGCTAGAATTTTGCCTATGGCTCTGTATGGGTGTGATAATTGGTCTCTGACATTAACAGAAGGAACATAGACTGAGGGTGTTCGAGAACAGGGTGCTGAGGAGAATATTTGGACCGAAGAGAAATGAAGTGACAGGAGGGTGGAGAAAACTGCATAATGAGGAGCTTCATAACTTGTACTCTTCTCCAAGCATAATTAGAATGATCACGTCAAGGAGGATGAGATGAGCAGGACATGTGGCACGAATGGGGAGAAGAGTAATTTATATAAGATATTGGTGGGAAAGCCGGAAGGAAAATGATGGCTAGGAAGACCAAAACGTAGTTGGGTGGACAATAATAAAATGTATCTTAGAGAGATAGGATAGGGTGGTATGGACTGGGTCGATCTGGCTAAGGATAGGGACAAGCGGAGGGCTCTTGTGAACACGGTAATGAACCTTCGGGTTCCAAGAAATGCTGGGAAATTCTCGAGTAGCTGCACAACTGGCGGCTTCTCAAGAAGGGCTAATCTCGATGAAGTTAGTTTCTAGTTTAGTTAATTATATCTACGCTTAATTTATTAGCTAGGAGGCTGTAACCAGCTACCGAACGCAAGTACTTCATTTGAGCTGACCCGATTTAGCATACAAATAACGTTCCATAATAGCAATAATGAAATAATTGTCATGCTTCTTGTTTCTATTGAGACTGTTGAAATACCAGGTAGACGATGTAAGGTCCTATTGCCCCTAGACCGTTTGCAATGAGAAATCCGACAGAAGTACCCGTCTGCCTCAGACAAGTGGGGTACAGCTCCATGCATTGCAGATATGAACTGTAAGCTGCTATGGTGACGGAGAACTTCACTACAAGGACGAAAAAGATTAGCAGCCACAGCAAGCGTTCTTCTGCAACAGAGAGACAAGGGCTATGATTGGCGGGGTTTATGTACGTCCGGTACATCTATCCTGAAACATAGACTACAAGCTACAATGGTAAATATATTCAGATGAAGAACTGCAGAAAAGCAGGATCCCCGATATTGAATTCAAAATTTACATCCCCTGCAGATTTAAGCATAGTTATAATGACGATTGCCTAGTAAATTTTTTCAAATAATAAAGTAAAAAAATAAAGCTATCCCTGTACCAGGCCGTGAAGGCCCATAGGGTTGTGAGAAGTTGAGGCTCCCACATTATCTAGACAATCGGCTAAAAGATGGCGGTAAGGTTGTCAGCCATACGCGCCGGCCTCACTTTACTTCCCTGGAAAATTAATTAATTCCTGGTATTCATTTCTGCTAGAGGCTGATTCAACCCCAGGGCCTAGTGCGGCTAGAAGGATTAGGTCAACTGAAAATAATCCAATGACCTCATCGGAACTTGAACCCGCGACCTTCCAGCTTGTAGCATAACCCCTCAACCAACTACGCTACCGCGTGCCCATTTCAAACAATAACGCTTCTAAATTCTATTCGGGAGGTATTTAGTTCGATTCTCGGTCGGAGACGGGATATATTGACTGACGTTTCCCATGGTTCCCCTCAGCACTTAATTAGAAAAGTCCAGGATAGGTATTTTCGAACAGTATAGTTGAATGACCATATTGTCACGTGCAGTCCGTTGAATGTACGTTTCGGAGAAATATATCGCTTCCATTTTCACGGTCGAAGAAAAAGTCACATAAGAGACCAGCTCTGAATGTTGCGTACTTTATGTTGATTTCTTTCTTTATTTATTCTTAGATCGTGAAGATGGAGGCAATATATTCCTTCGAGGCTCCAGTTAAATTTCATCGAAGTACACAGCGTTATATCACAGAATATCATGTGAGTTTCTTTATCCATCATCATCATCATCATCATCATCATCATCACCTTTCTTGTGATCATACATTGTTCTCAATGTCCATGTTCATGTCCGTCCGTTCTATTTCCCCGTAGAATGGAGGTTCAGTCTTGTAGTGCTGCATCCTCTTTGTGGTGTTGACAAAGATCGAAAGACTACCCTCACATGATACCACTTGAGGCACTATGTTATAAACCGGAAGGTCAGGGGATCGAAACCCAATGAGATGGATTTTTTTCAATTCGCCTAATCCTTCCAGCCGCACTATGGCCCTGGTTTCGACTCAGCTTCTAACAGAAATGAGTACTAGGAATATTCTTGGGGGTAAAGGGCGGCCGGCGCGTAAGGCTGACAACATCACCGCCATCTATGAACCGACTGTCTAGAAAATGTGGGAACCTCAACATCTCACAACCCTATGGGCCTTCACGGCCTGTTATAGGGATACCTTTACTTTTACTTTTACATTTTTTAGGTCATCATTAGGTGAAATATGAGAAATATATACATTTTGAAGGAATTCATTTAAAAACTACAGTGCTACTATATATCTGATAATTTGTTAGTCAAATTAATTTCGCGTCCATGCAAAAACTACAGTCAAAAGCATATGTTATAGGCTTATACAGAATGTCCCAGGAAGAAAGGTCAATATTTTGGAGGTCATATTATCGGCCATTCTAAGAAAAAAAATGTATGTGTACACGTGTCCTACTCCGAGCGGTTTCCGAGATAGAGCTGTTTCACTGTGCAGGACACTGTTCACTGTACAGACGAACAACACGCCATGTCCTCACATGAGTTGCTAAGTGCATTGATGTTGACGGTGGAATTTTCGGAAATATATTATACTGGGTAAACTGTACCTACTTCGTCGCGTGGACAATAAATACCGGTTTTAGAAACAGTACGTAATATTTCTTTCTTATCAAGAGTTTTGGAACTGTACAGTGATATAGCTCTATCTCGGAAACCGTTCAGAATAGGACATATGTATATTGCCACGTGTAGGGGGGTGCGCGTGACGAAAATATCGGGTTCTAGAACGGATGAATTGATTTATTGGTGTTCTTTTACAATTACACACGTGAAATAACGTCTTCGACATTTCAGCTATTCAGCTACCTTCTGGATTCTCTTCGACTGACAGTTCCTCAACTGCGCATCTAACTGCGCAACAATGTCTCACACATAAAACTTCGACTGCAAACTTCTCTGCCTGCTTCGTAATACGTTTAATCTTGAAGAGCATGTAGTGACTCGAATTCTCTTTGTTCTGGTCTGGTTTCACCTCCCTTAGCTTCGGGAGAGTCGAACCGAGATCACCGCCCTCAAGGGTTTCAGTATTGTGCTTTTGTCTTTTAAGTAGTCTTTACCACGGGTAAGCCTTTGTCCCAAATCCGTTGCCACGGAAAATCGTTGCCGAGAGAACGTGTTTCACAAACCGTTGCCTAGCAATGTCCGTCTTTTCTTACTCCACCGTTCCGGCTTTCAGGCGCCATATCACAATATGCACATTTTTTGCTTAGAATGACCGATATATGACCTCTCAGAATATTGATTTTTCCTCCTGGGGCACTATATAATTATATTTGCTTTTCTTGAAAAGGGTACGAGCTGACGTGGCGATACTCACGATGTAAAACGATGAAGACGCAGGCCAGCTGGAAGAGAGCCCCCAAAATGAAAGCCATGGCTTGACTCCAACGTCGCCCCAACCTGTCGCACAGAGCTCTGCCTATCAGGAAACCCGGTAGCTCTATGAGGGCTTGCAGCAGGAAGTTGAGAAACGGGTTGCCCGACATCCCGGCGACGCTAAGCACAACCGTGTAATACAGGATCTGCGTCAGTGTTCTGAAAGACACAAATAAAAGTCAGAAGTTGCTCCTATGCCTAAGCACCACTCCATACATCTACGATACTAGATGAAGATGAATGGATTCACGCTCCGGCCGCTTTACAGAAAAACAAAACATTCTTATCTCCTTCTATAAGTGACTTGTTAGTGTCAAGAACTGATATATACTTTAAGAATTCTATTTTCTGCTATATAACGCGGCATAGTCCGTTGATAGTCAAATGACGTTTCGGAGGAATATGTTGCCTCTGTCTTCAGAGTATGTCACATGTTGAATTCTTGCTTGGATTATTCTTATATCTTGAAGATGGAGACGATGTTTCCTTGAAGATGTCATTTGAATGTTCACGAATTATGCGGGTTTATATCCCGGCAGATACTGTTCCTCAGCTTCCTCGTGGACATGAACTCGATGCTGAAGGCAGGCATCCACACGCTTCTGGGAGTGGCCCCTGTAAGTCCAGGCCAGTGCCACGCTTCTCATTGTGCTATATGATGCAATCGATTGTAACCTAACCTATAGCTTTATCCGAAGTGGGAAAGTGGATCCTCAATCGTGCAGTGTCATGTCATCTATCGGTGATATAAAGCATTAAAGACAAACGTCTTTCCTCTCCACATTTTCAAATTTTCAAATTCTCTTAAATGTAGTCCTGTAGGCATTTATTTAGACAACGCAATAACACCAACTAACAGAACTGACAGACCTGGAGATTAGCCTTTTTGAAACGCTGTTATTTACTCAGTCCCAAGGTTCATTAAACTGTTGAAAAATTCACAATTTTCGTCCTTGTCATGAGGCGGTTTATACTAGTTTATACTACTTTACACATTTTTTTCTAAGATACTTTTTAGTATTATCCTTATAGGTCGCGCCATAGCTCAAGCGGTTAGTCTCTGGCTTCCTACCGCGGCGGCCCGGGTTCGATCCCGGGTCTGGTCAAGTGGGATTTGTGGTGGAGAAAGTGGCGCTGGGGCAGGTTTTCTCCGAGTATTTCGGTTTCCCCTGGCCATCTTCATTCCACCAATTGCTCCACAATCGCCCTCACGTATCATCTGGGGCTGGTACAGTAGGCCAGAAGTGGCCGCAGTACAAGGGGCTTAGTCCCACCCCACTAGCAATAGAAACACATTATCCTTATATTTGTGCATATTCCTGGCAAGTAATCTCGTACATTCAGCCTTCATACTTTTTCCTTTTACTCAACTCACAGCTTTTCCACATGCCTTTTAATTTGATCATCCTAATCCGATCTGATAAAGAATGTGAGTTATGAAACCCCTAATTATGTGATTTTTTGTACCCTTCTTGTAATATGTCCCTTTCAGGCAGAAATGTTACACAGAGCAACTCTGCTCCAATAACCTCCCTCAAATTGGGATTGATTTTTTTTAAACATCACACATATTTCACACCCATACAACACAACAGATGATTATATATATATATTTTTTTTTTTTTGCTTACTCACTCACAGAGGTGGACCTTTCTTAAGAACCCGCCAGTGGTGCAACTACTCAAGAACTTTCCAGCATTTGATGTAACCCGAAAGTTCATCACCGTATTCACAAGAACCCTCCACTGGGTCTTATCCTGAGCCATATAAATCCAATTCTATCTCCCTAAATACAAAATAAAAGTTTTCATCATTTCATGAAATACAAGAAGTTCTGGGAAGATCTGATCTCCTGCTTCCTTCTCATAAGACACGGACTGTATAGAAAACGACTCGTCCAGCAATTCTTGTATTGTTCCATGCGTATCCGTTTCAGCGGTAACATTTTAATCGAGCTCTTGCGTAGCAGCGATGGAGGGATACATAGACGCACAGACTGATGAAAGGGATTTATGAAGTACACCGTTGAGATGCGCTCAGTTAACGTGATATATATCAAATTTCATAAAGACTTCTTGAGGCATTCAAAATTAATACGGGGGGGGGGGGCACATACAGACACACACAAAGACAGGAAAGTGATGCCATATGCCTAATTTTATTTTTTTTTTCGAAATAAAATTTATGTTGAATTTTGCTGTCATCTGAGATGTAAGCCCATGGAACCTACTGATTGTCCTCTCAACCTAACCCCTCCTGCACTAATGTCTGAGTGTATATTTGTTGTTATGTACTCACAGTGACATGGAGATGAGGATTGTGTTCCTGATGAGTCGCCGGTTCGCGAACAGACTCGCCACTCCGTAAACTTTCTCTTTCCTTCCTGCCAATTTCTTCAACTTCATTAGAGCGTTTTCAGGTATGGAAGTGCCGTTTATCTTGGCGATGTAATTCAAAACTTCAAGACATTTCTTTGACTTTCCTTTCGCTGCAAGCCATCTTGGGGACTCGGGAAATATTCTACAGACATATATAATAAACACGTGATTTTTCAGAAGTAGTTATCTGTAAGAAATATGTAATTGCAACAGTAAATTTAAATACAATGAAAGTAGAATGGAGTGTAGAGATCGGTGTAGGGTGTAGAGACGAATATATAAGAGTTAATGTGTAGAAATATTTATATGAAAGCACGAATTTCACATATCAAAACAAGAAAAAATAACCATGTCAACATGTGTCCTGAAACATTAAACTATTTTTAGTTGTAGTTGAAAGGATGCATTTAAAATAAGTACTCAATATGTCCTCCATGAGATTTAGTGCACGCCTCGACACGCCTCATCATGGACCGCCACATCCGCTCAGAGATGCCGGGGCAGTTGCGGATAGTCTGACAGGCATGCGCAGTACGATGTGAAAAGGAGCTGCATTAAGGTGTCCCCACAGGTAACAATCCAGAGGCTTCAAGTCAGGTGAGCGTGGAGGCCACGCAGTGGGTCCTCCTCTACCTATTCATCCTTCATGACAGGTGTTACTGAGGACATCCCGCACAGCATGGAGCACCATCATGCGTGTACCACATTCGTACTCTGACTGCCAGTGGTACAGCTTCAAGTAGCTTTTTCAGTTGATGTAAGTCGAAATGTTGGTAGTGGTTGCCTGTAAGCCGATGTGACAAAACTTGCGTGCCTACCAAGCACCAACAAAAACATTTTGAACATATTTATAAATGTACTCCTTCAGTTATAATTCACAAATTAAATGCTTCCGGGTACATGTTGATATGGGCTTTTGTTATTTTATGTAGAACTCTTGGACAATTTTTGTGCGTAATTTTCAGTTACACCATACACGAGTATATGCCCCATTCTACAGAGACCGTGCATGAATCATTCAGCATGGAAGAGTACAAGAAGATGACACACACCCATAGGCAAGAAACACAATAGCGCAGGGCACAGATGTTATTATCATGAAGAGCTTCCACTCGCCACCAGTCGCCCAGGCTATCATGGGCATCACACACATGCCAGACGTCCAGCCCACAAACTGCAGCATTGCGATCAGTGCCCTCTGTGAAGTGGACGATATCTCCATTCCTACAACAGATGTCACTGGTGTCAGTGTCTTCCACCGTTTCCAGAACAACGAACAGTTTCATGTCTTTCACTCTGTGCCTATTTACGGGCGAAGAGCCTACACAACTAAGTCCAATTCGATGAAATATATATAGTATAAAGTAAGTAAGTAAAATAATAATTTAACTATTTTATTTGGTATGACAATGAAGTCCCAAGATTTGTGTGAAAAATTAAAAATACAAGAAACTATAAAAATAAATGTTATTTCTGTGTAAGATGAATGCCGTCTTCTGGGATATGGCTCCGTGTAGATATTGTGTAAACTGACGTTTTGGAGGGAAATATAGCTTCCATCTTCAGGGCAGAAAAATCCGCGTGCCTGCAGCCACCTGCTCACGCTGGTTCCTCTCTCGCGGATTTTTATACCCTGAAGATGGTGGCGATACGTTTCACCGAAACGTCTATTTACGCAATATTTACACGGCGCCACATCTCAGAAGACGGCATCCATCGCTGTGTTATTTCTATTCAAAATCATATCCGCCCATATGAATACATTTGTTGAATCGTTTAAAAAGCGTTTGAAAACAGCAGGAAAATGCCTCTAAAGGATCTGCTTACAGTGCGGCCGTCACGTTGCTCTTAACGTTTTCAGCATTCTGAAACGTCTTTTCCTTTGAGTGAAGTTTTCACCTTAGGAAAGAGAGAATGCATAAAGAAAACTGGGATTGCCTTGACAAGTCTGCATGAAAACTTGTCGTGATGTGAGTCCCCATTGCGTCTGCGCGTCAGTGAATCTGTGTTGGACGACCTTAGAGGACATCTTCCTCTTCCGTAAATCTTGATGGAGGATATGACGAAACGTCTATTTGTTGATGTTTAATTCATCCGCCATCATTCTAAGAGCCTCTTGAATTCCACGAAATATATTAAATATTCATTTTATGTCAATAAGCTTGAAATAAACGCTGCAAGCCCATGGGAGGTTTACATTTCATGTCAAGTATTGGACCTAAATAAATTTGTCGAAACAAGTACGATATAATTCTATTGAAATTTTTTTATGCTAGTGGGGTGGACTAAGTCCCTTGTTCTCAGGCCACCTCTGGCCTATTGTACTAGTCCCAGATGATATGTGAGGGTGATTGTGAAGCAGCTGGTGGAATGAAGATTGGCAGGGAAAACCGAAGTACTCGGAGAAAACCCGCCCCAGCGCCACTTTGTACACCACAAATCCCACTTGACCAGACCCGAGATCGAACTCGGGCCGCCGCGGTGGAAAGCCAGCGACTAACCGCCTGAGCTATGGCGCGGCCTCCTATTGAAATTTAATGAAGTATATGTTATTACTGACCATTATATACCAAAATATGTTTGTAGACTCGAATGTTAAACGTATGTAAGGTCGGATAGAGAGACGGGACACGAATTAACTGCTGTTTTCACATGTTTTCTGCAGGGACCTCATAAACAACATTCTACATTGTAGTGTTTCAGACACTTTACCTATAATGAGTGGAGACTGGAAGACGACAGCTATGGGCAGACTCGCCACGACATTGGCCACTAGGAACACTACGAAGTGTCCAGCGGTGAAGGCTGACACACATCTTCCGAGGACAAGCGTCAGTACTCCAAGGAACAGAACTGGACGACGCCCGATCCTAAACCAGGAAAACTTAAAATCCTTCTGAATAACATTGCCTCTCTCTCTCTCTCTCTCTCTCTCTGTTGCTAGGAACTCACATTAGGCGTATAATGCATAAAGCGATCTATACTTACTAATGGAGCTGAGCTCTTCTTGAGGAGCCGCCAATTCTGCAGCTACTCAAGAATTTCCCAGCATTTTATGGAACCCGAAGGTTCATTACCGTGTTCACAAGAGCCATCCACTAGTTCCTATCCTGAACCAGATTAATCCAATCCATACCATTCCATCCTATCTCTTGTTTCCTATACGTAAGTAAATTCATCCCTGTAGCAGACCGTCAAGGCCCATAGGGTTTGAGACCTTGAGAGTCCCACATTATCTAGA